TGGTAGAGACAGTTACTAACCTCTCAAATAGCCTGTCAGCTTAATTCTCAGTGTGAGCCCCTAAGTCTAAGCTTCGTTACAGGAGAAGGAAGTGCAGACTGATCAATATGATGCCATGATGAACTTTATTTATTTATTTTTTATGGTAAATTATTGAAGAAAAAAGGAAACAACCCCTGCATAGACAGAGGTGGCAGAGATCTGCATGTGATGGACTTATAAAGTCTTAATTTTCTTTAACATCATCTGTCAGATTATGGTCACATTGAATAGTTAGTATATAGTCATTGAATACTGACTCTTTGTGATTTAGATTTTAGCTGGATTGTATAATCCTGGAGATGGTCACATTGATCCTTATTCTCTAACTATGGCCCTGGCTGCTGGAGCTAGGAAATATGGTGCCCTTTTAAAATACCCTGCACCAGTGACTTCCCTGAAATTCAGGTCAGATGGAACATGGGATGTTGAAACACCACAGGGATCTATGAGAGCAAACAGAATTGTGAATGCAGCAGGTAAGTGTTAACACCTTTTTTTTTTTTTATTATTTGTGAATTTTTGAAGCGATGAAGATATAAGGTATTACCCATAATGTTTTACACTATGAATACTGTGATGCTTCTACTCAGACATTTTGTCTCTTTATAAATTACAGTCCTTCTTCCATTATTTTATTCTGTGTGAGAGATATCACCCAGAATAGAAAGTTGGTATTTTCCTCCTCTCTCCATTTCCTTTTGCTGCAGATTATGTTTTGCCCAATTATATATCATTTTCCTTTCTGTATTCATTTTGTACTGATAACTGAATTCTAGTGCTCAAATTCATGAGCATTCTCTTTGTTCTCAGTTTGCTTTTCTAGAATATATTTAATCATTTGTGTTATGTCTCATCTATACCTGTTATTTTGGACTCTGCACAAAAAAAAAACCTTTAACCTTTTCCCTTTCATATCATTAATGAACACATCTCATAATCTTTCTTTAGGTTACTTGGTTACAGTTTAGACTCTGAGTAGTGAAGCCAAAAGAAATATTTGGGGTAATACAACAACTCACTCATTTTCCATTTGTGGAGACCAAGGTCCAGAAAGATCAGATTAGTTGATGAAGTGACACATGAGTTATGACAGAAAGGACTTGGACCTACCTGGTCCTTTTGATTCTGATTCTTGAGTTAATATAGTTTCTAACAGGTCATTTGCTTATGAAATCATTTTCAGCTATCACACATACAAAAATTAATTCTTATACAAGTGAAAATGCTTGTACACTTATAAACTAGGTTACTAATTTTTCTTTACCTGTAGTTCATAATGGCTAATTTAAAACCTAAATATGAGCTTAAAACAGCATCTAATTTTCTCCTAAACCTCTTTGAGTCATTGTTTAAATTATAAATGAAAGCAATCTTTATTATTTATCATTCAAATGAGATGCCATGAGACCATATTGGAAACATATATCCTTCAGATTCTTTCCTCTAAATTATAACCTCTAATTGCTAATATTTGTAACAAAATGTTTTTATTGATCCTGGAAAAAATCATGTGTATAATTATTTAAGAGTTTAAATTAGTATTTCTGAATCCCCCTAACCAGAGATTCTCTTTTAAAAAGCACAAAACTCTCACGCCATTTTTGTTCTCATTTTAAATTCAAAATAATGGCAAATGACTTGCCTTAAAAAATCAAAGCAAAAACATAGAACATCACTTTGTTTTTAACTTTATTTGCCTACTAACTCCTCCCACTACACTCTGCAACCCCCATCTGACACCTTCCAGCCTCCACTGTCCTTGTTCACCCTAAGTCTAAATTTTATTAGATGATCTATGGCAATGAACAGAGCTTACCACGCAGGAAGCATATATAATAATGATAATAATAATTGTGATTATCATAATTATTTCCTTGAAGGTCTATTCCCAATCTGGGAGTCACTAACACCAAATTTCTATAATTTTTTTGGTATCAGTTTTATGATTGCCCAACTCCTTATATACACAACTTGCTCTATAATCATGTAGCAGTCATTCTGTTAGTGAACTGATTCACCCAGGGTCTTGGTTCTCAAGATTATGTAAATAAGAATTACCATGGGAAGTTTCCTCGACATCAAAAAGATTCTAATTCAGGTGGTCTGACTGGGGCTCAGAAGCCATACTCTAGCAAGTATTTCAGGTATTGTGTTATTGTGCTAGACGGTCTGCAGTGTCTATTGAAAAACACTGTTACCTAGGTTTTCCTACAGGAGAGTTATGTAGTAACTTTATTCTTGAGCAAGCAGGGCTGGAGAACAGTTTTCACACTAACAGTGTGCAACAGTCTAACTTCTTAGTGTCTGAATTGCCCTTGGCACCTGAAGCTTTCAAAATCTGCTTGATTCTATCCCTTCCTTCAAGTGCACCTTGGGGAAGGGACAGGAGTTATTTATTATGATGCAAGCTTTTTCTCTGCATGGTGAATATTTCTCTTGACCTCCTTTCTGATGGACTCAATGAAGCTGAGATAACTGTGTAAACTTTACTTAAGAATGTTCCTAATATGGTAAATCAGAAATGGGTTCAGTTCATGCCAACATGCAGCCAGTGTTCAGCCAAAAATAATTGCTTAATCTTGCCTGATACTCTGCGTCAGAGAATGAAACCATCACTGCCTTTATATAAACTATGTTAGTAGAAATAAACTTGTCTGTGTGCCTTGACCTTTCATTTTAGCCTTATTCCTATTAATCACTGCCTTACAAATAATGAAAGTTATTTCCAATGATTACTTTTCTTGACTCTTCTTTTACTTGTTTTTCTGATGATAATGGTAGAGTTTAGAACCAATATTCCACTTTCTTCCCTTGGAACTTGATGGGTGGTTGATTATAGCAGGGATTGAAGTATAACCTTCCTAAATTTAAGTTAACTTGATTCACATACATGGAGGAGAATGTCAAAGAACTCCAGCAGCATAGAGTGAAACAGTACAGAGTCTGCCTGCTATCGGGTTTGAAATAATATAGTTATATGATATTATATGACCGTTCCCACTTTGTTTTAATAACAAAGTACATCAATAAGAAAGCAGTTTAATTCAGAATTCAGAAATATGTTTAAATGAGACAGAATTACTTTTCTTCAATTTATGTTTTTAATTGAAACAACTATATTGAGGATACTGCAGTGGCTTGAATTGCTAGACTAAATATTTTGGAGTTTTACATTTTAAAACTACTCTAATATGTCACTTTCTTACAAAGTCTTGACACTGGTGAGTCACATCTTTGTTCTAGAAGAATAAATTAAATCCCTAAATTCTTACAAGACCAGCAAGCACTTCTAATGTCCACAGATAATTTCTTGTTTGCATATAGCCACCCATTTCTATTATACAAGTGTGGCCATTGTAACTGTTTGTCCAGACAAAGCCACAGAACACGAGGGTGTTGTGTAGAAGGCATGCACTAAGCAAATGTGGCATATAAGAATACATAGTCTTCCCACACTGACTCATGATTGACAATTCTGTGTGTAGCTATGAACTTAATGACGGACTTCAGATTATTAGATTCTGGGGGGGTGGGGAAGGGTGAGCGGGGAATAGAAAGGTTAAGAGAGTAAAATTCTCTAGACTCCAGGGAAGAAGACACAGTCGCGTGCAGGCTGGCCATACTGAGCCAGAGAACCTCAGGCTCACCTCTGCGGGAGGCAGATGCTTGTGCAGTCATCTGCCATTGCCTGTAGGTTCCGGGTCTTAGCCTCAGACAGTCCTGAGCCAAAAGGCGGAGGAACCCGCAGACCTTCCACTTGGAGCAGCTGGAGTTCTTGGTGTGCTGTCTCTCTAAGAAGCCCTTCAGACATGAAGTGTCAGTAACTGAATTAATTAATGAAGGGCTGGAAATAGCTTATTCAGTCATTAATTGGATTCCTAATATGATAGGCAGGCAATGAGAAGGCCACATCAAAATAAGAAGCAAAGAGAAATGGAGGAACACTAGATCATAATTAAAAACAATTACAACATAGCAATTGAATTTTCTTTTGTAGTCTACCTAATATAAAGTCACGGTGGTGGGTATGAGTGGGGAGAAGAAAGTTTCTGTCTTTTCCTATCTCCACTGCCCTCATGCCATTGGTGTTTTTAGCAGGACTGTTGTACTCAGATTCTGTGGAAGGAAACTTCTCATAGGGCCGCACTGGCACAGCCAGCACAGCCGGCCTGTGCTTTTACAGTCTGCTCTTGCCACTTACCATTACCAGTGGATGTGTTCTTCCATTTCTGGACTTGGATGAATATTAAACTCTTCAGTTTAACAAGACCCAATGAGCCCCCAAAACAATCTGTTATAGGGCACCCCAATTCTGTTAGAGGACAGGGGAGAGAGGGACACCCCTGAAGCCCCCAAATCCTGCCTGCTCTAAGTGGGTTCTGCCATCCGCCAAAAGAAGACAAAACATATAAAACTTTAATGAAAACGGACTTTAATACAGTGAATATACAATACGGAACACAAAGAATATAACTTCTAAATCAAACACCTGAAGCTACCTATCCCCTCGTGGGCAAAAGTTAACCCAAAAGGGATTGGCCCAAAGCAAGGCCTGAAAGCCTGCCACTAGACTAAAGCACCTTCTGGCCGGGACCCATGGAAAAGGGTAAGAAATGGCCAGACAAATCTGGGAGGAAAAGAGCAAAATCAAAATCAATATAAACACAGCCATAGTCACCTCCCACATCTGCCTTAACCAGTCTAGGGTCAGGAAACAAGCACAGTTTCTTCATCACATGCTTGCTGCTCCAGGTGGCTTCCTCTGGTCTCCTTCTTGTTTTCCATCCAGCTTCCTTCTCTTCTCTCTTCTCCTTTTTCTCTGCTCAACTCCACCCTCCTTCTGGGTGGGGCAGGGAACCTGGAACTTCCCCTTTTCCTAGGGACCACCCTGTTATAGTATGTGTATGCATGCATGGAGTATATGTATGCATTTAAAAAGTAGTAATTTTTTATTTAAGGCTTTTGGGCACGTGAAGTCGGTAAGATGATCGGACTAGACCATCCTCTCATTCCGGTTCAGCATCAGTATGTTGTTACATCGACAATACCTGAAGTGAAAGCTTTGAAACGAGAACTTCCTGTGCTTCGTGACCTGGAAGGATCTTATTACCTCCGGCAGGAAAGGGATGGACTTTTGTTTGGCCCGTATGAAAGCCAGGAGAAAATGAAAGTTCAGGACTCCTGGGTCAACAATGGAGTCCCTCCAGGTGAGTTTAGCAAAGGGAAGGTTGTGCAGGTCAGATACATAGATTTTGTCCCCTCTGTGACTGGGCACGGTCTGTAGAATACGATGGCAGCACTATACTAGACTGTAGATGTCCAGGACATTGAAAGTGAGGGGTTTAAAGTAAGCTCTGTTCTCATATCCCTTAGAACAACATGAGGTAAGCAAAGAGGAAAGAGGCACTTGGTGGTAGGAAAGCTAAAAGCACATATTTCTGTGGCTTTGGAAGTTCCAGGTAACTTTTATGCGCTCACATCAAGCTCCTACCTCCCACTTTTCCCTGAATTCCCTCAAATTTGGATCTAGCTGCTACTGTGCTTTGATAGTTACAAACAAGTTTAGTATCAGAGACAGGCTATCCAATCTGCTAAAGGTGAAAGCCTCAGGATCTATAACAGAACAGATGGGTTGGTACTATAAAAGGACATCCCTGCCTCCTTCTAATATATAGTACGTAAATAGATGTGGGGAGATTCAGACCACTATGCTGAAAGCAAGAGGTACTGTAATTTCTCTTTCAAGGTGTATGAGAAAGATACACCTTTTTGTTTCCAATGAAACATTTCTATGAGGTCATATTGTGGATGGAGGTCACATAAGAAGGTAACACAAATTTTAATCTATAAAAGGAACTGAAATATTAAAGGAAACATAAAAAAATGGAGGAAATAGTATTTCTCTAGAATTATACTATGAGAACGCTACTCCTGAAAGAACACTTATGCCCAGGAAACACTAGTGATCACTTAACAGCCCTGCACAGAAACAGGGGCTTTAGATTTACTGAGTGGGTGTGGCACATTTGGACTTGAGCAAAATAGTCCTAGCAGGAGGGTTGATCTGCTCTCTGGGAGCCTCCCTCTCTACTCTTTTCCCATGATGGTACCCTAAACAAATATATGAATAATTCCAGCTGGACAGAGACCAGATTTTTAGCTGGGCCTGTCTGGGCAGCGACAACTCCTGGTCCAACCCTGGTAGTTGGGTCATCACACTGACTCAACATAGGCTTCCCAAGAGCATCAGGAGTACGCTGGCTAGCCGCGGTGTAGGAAAATCACCAGTCTTGGTGAAGATATTCTTACAGAAACTTCTCTTGGCCCCAACTTCATTTATAGTGCTTTTTATGAATGAGAAGACCTTTGTACTCTAAGACCCTGACTCTTTTCACAGAATTCTAACCTTGGCTGTGTGTGGGAGCAAGCTTGAGCCACACAATTTCTTGCCTGCTGAAAGGAGTATTAAAAGTGGTCTGGACTCCATTATCCTGTAACCTAGAGTAGTCTCTGCTCTCCCCAGTGTCCTGGCATGACTTTGTTAACTCCCATTTGGCCTCACCTGAGAGAATGAAGCAGACTTATATGGGTAGTTGAAGGATAAAGATCTCTCTTGGCAAATCAAATGGTCAAGTATGTTTTTTAAAAATTATGATTGGAGGCCCTCCCTGGTGGCGCAGCGGGTTAAAGCGCAGCACTAAGAAGCTAAAGCCACTTCCGCATAAGTTCTATTCCCGCCTGCCCCGGAGGTGACCAGGAGGTGACTACATGGCGTGGCAGACCTCTCTTGACCCGCCCGCTGCTCCCCTCAGCAGTGTACTTCCTCGATCTGCCTGTTCTGCTCCCCACTCTGTCTCTGGTGAGCCTCTGGCCTGTACCCCAGTTCTGTGTGTACAAATAAATAAAATCTTTAAAATAAAAAAAATTATGATTGGAGTAAATCTTGGAAACAGTTAACTTGTAAATTTTACTTTCATGATTTTATTATTTCAACAAAACCACTGCTATTGTTTTCAGTAATATTAATAGTTTGCCATCTGTTAATAGTGAACATCAAGCTTAGACTTAAAGAACAAAAAGGAAGTTCTTGCTAACAGACCATCTTTAAATGTAAGCTCATTCAGAGTTGAACCACTTTAGAATATCTGGCAGTGTGGCTGTGGCCTCCCGACCTCAATGGCATGTGATTGCAGGTTTTGGAAAGGAACTCTTTGAGTCTGATCTAGACCGAATCATGGAACATGTTGAAGCTGCTATGGAAATGGTTCCAGTCTTGAAAAAAGCTGACATCATCAATATCGTCAATGGTCCCATCACCTATTCTCCTGACATTCTACCTATGGTAGGGCCCCATCAGGGGGTCAGAAACTACTGGGTGGCTATAGGCTTTGGGTAAGTATTTCTATGTAATTCAGTATTCTGTTACAGAATCATGCATTTTTAGCATGAGACATGAAAATGTATGGAGGGGCAGAGTTTTCTCCTTTTCATAATCATTCTAATACAAGAAATGTTTCCAGCTTAAAACTGTATAATAGTTTAATACCTTCTGTAAGTTTTGAAGATTCATATCCAAAAGGGCAATGACTTCCAGCAACTTTCTCTTTGAATATTCCTGCCATTTCCATTATTCATCTATTTTTTACACTTTGTTATGTTCAAATAGGTCAATTTGCCTCAATTTTACAAGGTTGTTTTCACAACACAATGTGACAATGATAATTCAGAATATCAAATATATGATATATCCAATGCAGTACTCTCCATAACTCATGTCTGTCCAACATGGTTTGTTTCTTTATGATTCTTTAGGTTGCTTACTACATATGATCCCATTTGAAATTTCATCTCTAATATTTGTCCCATTAATTTGGTGAATATGACTGTCAGACCCACTTTACTCTCATATCATAGCTTCTAATATTCTGTTTTTCTTCTTCATTTTATTTGGCCATTTATTCAGCTAATATTTAATGATTGCCAGTTCTGTGCTAGGCATGGTGCTAGACACTGGGCTATAACTGAGAGCAGACAGTAGGCACAATGCTGTCATGAGTGCTGTTCTGTAATGCAGTAGAGCTTTGGTTTTGTGTTAAAGAAGGAGCAATAGAGACCAAGAGATAGGAGGTAAAATTATTTATATTTGGTGATTGACTGCATCAGATCTTGAGGGAAAGGGAAAAACAGCAAATGATGATAAGCTTTCTGATTTTAACCCCAGTTAGATTCTGGGGCCATGAGGAGAGTCACAATATTAATAAGTCTTATCTTTGACAGGTTGGGTTTGAAGTGTTAGATTTAGATCTGTAGGACATGCAGAGGAAGAAAAGCAAGTGGAGATATGGGGCTGAAAGGTATAATGTAAACGAGGGCTTAGATAATCATATTAAGGTATGCACCAAAGTCCATATGTCATAGGTACATGAGGAGTGTTTCTCTTATCACTAATATGTCTTCTTTGGAGAAATGCTAATTTGTATCATTTGTAGATTTAAAAAATTGATTATTTGTCTTTTTACAGTTGTAGGAATTTTTTATATATTATACCTAATCAGATGCAAGATTTACAAAAACTTGCTTTCATTCATTTGGTTCTTTTTCACTTTCTTGATAGTGCCCATTAAAGCAGAAAAGTTTTTAATTTTGATGAAACCCTTTTTTTTTGGTATTTTTTTCTTTTCTTTCATTTTTGCATATTGTCTTGGTGTCATGTGTAAAGCCATCATTGAATCCAAGTTTATGAACATTTACACCTATATTTTCTTCTACAACTTTTATAGATTTTTTTTTAAAGATTTATTTATTTACTCATACAGAACTGGGGTACAGGCCAGAGATGTGGTGGGTGAGAGGATTCACCAGAGACAGAGTGGGGAGCAGAACAGGCAGATCAACAAAGTACACTGCTGAGGGGAGCAGCAGGCGGGTTAGGAGAGGTCTGCCATGCCATGTGGTCACCTCCGGGGCAGGCGGGAATAGAACTCATGCGGAAGTGGCTTAAGCTTCTCAGTGCAGTGCTTTAACCCACTGTGCCACCAGGGAGGGCCCAACTTTTATAGTTTTAAGTCTTACTTTTAGGTATTTGATCAGTTTGAGTTAATTTTTGTATATGATATGAGTAAGGTGTTCAAATTCATTGTCTTATGGGTAGCCAGTTTTCCCAGAACTATTTTATTGGAATTAATGTTCTTTCTTCATTGAATAGTGTTGGCATTGTGATGTCTTTTTTTTTGGTTGAGGGGGTGGGTATTACTTCTACAACTAGCTCCAATTCCCAGATACAAACTGAGTACCTAACAATTCAGTTCAATTATGATACTATGTCCTAGAGTCAGTGTAGAATCTACTGGGTAAGGACTCAGCCCCACAAAACTATCCCCATGTCAGATATCAGTTGCAAATTCCAGGATCAACTAAATTTCTGACTGGTTGGGTATAAATTCAGGAGTTCTGAAAACCTCCTCAGATTCAGTAATTCACTAGAATGACTCATAGAACTTAGAATTTCATAGAACTTTACCCATGTATTTTAAAGGATATAACTAAGGGATAAACATAGAAGAGATGGCTGGGTTAAAGTATAAGAGGTGGAGTTACGGCGCCCTCTGAAACATCACCTTACTAGCATATCGATGGGTTCACTAATCTGAACTCTTTGGGCTCTGGTATGTAGGGGTTTTTATGGGGGTTCATTACACAGGCACCATTGATTAAGTCGTTCTCCTTTGGTGATTGAATTTATGGTTCCCAGTGCCTATCCTGAAATGTATGTAATCTCCCCATCTCCCATATTAAACTCTCATTAACATATAAAAGATTCCACATCCCAATGGTTTTAGGATCTCTGTGTTAAGAACTGGGGACAAAGACCAAATTTTATTTTTTTTATTATAACATAGCATCATCATCAAAAATTAATTTACCGAAAAAGTACAGTTTTACTTCTCATCTCTCGGTTGCACTCCATAGATAGATAATGTCCGTCCTTATGCCAGCATCACACTGTTTTGATTACTATAGCTTTATAGTAAATTCTAAAATTGTTAAGTATGACTTCTCCAACTGTTCAAGATAATTTTGACTATTGTGGGTCCCTTAAATTTACATGTATATTTTTCAAGTTCTGCAAAAAAAAAAAAAAAAAAAGACTGCTGGATAGAGATTGCATTAAATCTATAGATTGATTTAGGGACAATTGACATCTCAATGGTATTAAATCTGACTCAAGAATGTGAAGTATAATTCCATTTATTTAGGTCCTTTTTTTCTTTGAACAATGATTTTTAATTTAATTTTCAAAGCATAAGCTTTGTACTTTTGCTAAACTTATTCTTATTTTATTACGTTTGATTTGGCAGTTGACTTAATCACAGAATTATCAATTTAGTCAACAAATGTTTGCACATTATTAACCAGAGCCATTCTCTGAACTGTGAACAACCAGACATTATCATTGTTCTCATGTTATTTAATTTGATAGAACCCCTACTTCTGTTGCTAAGGAAATAAGAAAGTTACTTTCTCTAGAACATCTTATTTAATCACCTGGAAGTTGTATGTTCTTGCATAGGCTCATGTTAGACTCCTGCTCTGATTGCTCTGAGTAATTTTCATAGGCATTAGACATTGGGAGGTGAATGGAGAAGATAAGGGGGGGGAAGCATGTTTTACGCTTTTTATATATCAAGTTAGGATCTTTAAAGTGCTAAGTTTCTGTGGTACAGAAAGATTTACTTATGACTCAAGCAAAATGTGTATAATCACAATTTAAATGTATTGTTAGGAGCCCACAAAACTAACAATTTAAGCATACAGTTTAATTGGCAGTAAAAGGGGAAAGGCTATGAACCTTTTGCATGCTTGGGAGACTGGTGATGCAGAGCAGATGGGACCTGGACCAGAAGGTTCCTGGCAACTGTCCACAAACTATGGAATATCACTCCTCACAGAAAAAGTCCCTGGCATTTTCACCAAAATCTGGAGAAAGCTTTATGACCATGGGGAAAGAGTCCATAAGCATCTCAGCTTGACTTAAATGTGATTCCTATATATCTGAATTTTCAGATAGAAAACAGCCTGCTTTCCTCTTGAAGTGATTGGTTCATTACAAAACATAGGGACTAGTGTCTCCTACCTCTTTAGCACAAGTCCCTGAGTAACTGCCTCTTTACCTGAATACTTCTAAGCTGTAATGAGATGGCCCAGCATTATTGTATAGGTCATTGCCTAAGTGCACCTGAACTAAAGTGAGTCTCAGTAGAAGATGGGCATAAGACTTTATAATGTACATGATTTTCCTACAAACATTCCTGTCAGTCAATAAAAGCTCAAGAGAGCTGACAAAGTACCAACCATATTTGACCATTTTTAACCTTTCCCCTGTTTTCCTAAAGTGAGCACCATTGACCTAAGAGTAGTAGGCTATTTTGCAAATGTCCTGTCTTAAAACAGTAGACACCAACTATATGACCAGGCACATTTTGTTTAGATATGCAAGTGTGTACTTTTGAGGGACTAAAATCATAGCATAAAGATTATGTTAAAAGTATGTTCTGACTAGCACAGAATACTCCAATTTTAAGTTCTATAAAATATTCGGACATATTTCATTAATCAAAGTCATCATATGTTAACAAAATATTTACCTCTATTGAAAGATATGGCATAATCCATGCTGGTGGAGTAGGGAAATATCTTAGTGACTGGATCTTGCACGGTGAGCCTCCTTTTGATCTGATAGAATTGGATCCCAATCGCTATGGCAAGTGGACAACAACCCAGTACACTGAGGCCAAAGCAAGAGAGTCGTATGGATTCAACAATATTGGTAAAGTTCAAATTTTCTGTTGTTTACACAGAACTGACTGCAGTACTCTGATATTAGATCCTATTTAATCTGTTCATTGTGATGGTAGTGGTTAGGGATTCTAAAAAGTATGATATCTCTAAGAATCAATAGGAATGTATATGAACATTATGTATGGAGTACAGTAGTGATTTTAAGTTTTAAATATATATTTTTCCTTTATTCTTTGATAATATGTATGGCAGCCTTTTATACATAAATTATATAAATTATATATATATTAAACTCAGAAATACATGTGTGTGTGTGTACTCATATATATATGTATATATATAAAACACAGAATCCATGTTTGTGTGTGTGTGTGTGTGTGTGTGTGCGTAGATAGAGATATATGGATATGCTCCTGGATTTTAAGTACTGTGCTTTCCATTTTTCTGACTCCCTTCAAAGTATCTTATAATTTTGGTTACATGCTATTTAGAGTGCCAGTTTTTCTTTTTCAGTTGGTTATCCTAAAGAAGAACGGTTTGCTGGGAGGCCAACTCAGCGAGTCAGTGGGCTTTATAAAACCCTGGCGTCTAAGTGTTCCATGGGGTTCCATGCAGGCTGGGAGCAGCCCCACTGGTTCTATAGACCAGGCCAGGATTCTCAATACAGGTAAGTGAATAAGTTAACCTACCTGTACAATTACTACATGATGACATTTTGGAGATGAAATAGAGGGACATCAGTGAAATGTTGTTTCCCCTTCCATCCTATACACCATCCTATACACCACTCCATGCCAAGGAACATTGTCTCTTTTCTTACAAAAATTATTTTTTGGCTCTAGAAGTATTAATCTAGATCACCAGGCATTGGTCCACATCTAGGATTCATGTGACCTTGCAAGTCTCACAGCCATTCTGGGTGAAGTCTCCACTTGTCATTTTTCAGGAGTTCCAAGGATTCTTCCCCATTTCCTCCCAACATCTACATAATTTCACTTGTTTCCTAAAATTTGCCATGGTTTAAGTTGTTTGGTCAAATCACATAGTATGTTATCACAAAATACAAAGTACTTGGAAGGTTTAGATTTTCTATTTATTAATGAATAGCTCAAAGCAACTGTGTGTTTCTAGTGTGTGTGCACTGAGTCTTGCAAACTGTACGCACTGTTGATAAATTAGGGGAAATGATCACTTCCTTAGCATTCTGGGTTATGTAAAACATAAAGCATGTCACTAACAGAATTCTCTGAACTCATCTAAAGTGCTACTTGGCATTGTTGTACTTAGTACCCAGTGTAATGTTTTTCCTCGTGTGAATATAAAACCTAGAGAAAGCAAAGAACAAATCTAAGAGCTAAATGACCCCTTTTTTGATTTGTCATTTTTCTTATTTAAACAGGTTTTGATATCTACTTTAACAGCAAATCCAAGTTATATAACGTATACTAGAGGACTAGAATTGTTAATGAGCGAATGTGGCTATAAAGGCAGTCATTCTAGATTATCTAGGGCATAATAAAGAGTGTGGGTTTTCCTAAATGACTCAGATATATCTACTCTTCACCTTCTGCTGTTTAGATCTAGACTGTTTATTCTACCATTTTAAAAAGGAACCTACTGAAGACTCAATAGCATCCTGCTCTGAAGTTAAAAGACCATGTTGGAACTCACCTCATAAAATAGAAAGGACTTGCATAATGAGTCAGAAGACCTTTGTTCCAGTAGTTCACCTCTGTCATAGAGCGGTCTTGGATGTCACTGTAACTTTTCTCTAAAAAATGAAGGCATTGAGCCAGATTTCCCTTGTTCCAGGAATGAACCAAAAACTTGAACATCACCTGGGAGCCTGCTAAAATGCAGACTCACAGGCCCAGCTCCAGACTTGTTGCATCAAAACTTACATTTTAACAAGTGCAAGAAATTTTATTTGCACTGTTTGAGAAGCATGGAAAAGATAACTGCACCCCCATAAATTGTGTCTTAGGTAAAAAAGTTGTTTTCAGAATGCTCTCCAGAGCCCACATGTGCTATCTTTTTTTATTTTTTCTCTAGTTAATACTTCATTCACTATGAAATGGGGCACAGGGATAGATGAGTAGCTAACAAAAAAAAAAAAAAAAGAAAATCAAGATTCCAACACACTTGCATGATTTGCAGAAGAATTTTATTAAGATTGCATTTTTTTTCCCAAATAGGGTTTTCTAGATGAATAGGGTATGTTACAATATCCTCCTGTCATTTTCAGCAAATGAATGAAATTTGTTTTGTGACACCAAGCATTGTGTTTCAGACCAAGTTTCCGCCGCACAAACTGGTTTGAGCCTGTGGGTTCTGAGTATAAACAGGTTATGCAAAAAGTAGGGGTGATTGACCTGTCACCCTTTGGCAAGTTTCACATCAAAGGTCAAGACTCCATTAGATTGTTGGACCATCTCTTTGCAAATGTCATTCCAAAGGTAAATAACCTTATAGGGGTTCAAGGCCCAGGACTATGGCCTGCTTAATTCTGCATCCTGATTGAAAAAGAAAGTTATTTCAGTCCACCTAATGATTTCTGTTTAAACACCCAGTACTCTTCAATGGAGTAAGACTGTACAACATAATTTTAAAATTTAAATTTTTGTTGAATGAACTATCTAATGACATGGTGATCTTGCATAATTGTAAATAGGATCTACAAAATTTAAGCATAATTTGTATGCTAAATAATTACCATGATCACTTAAATTGAGAATGAAAACTTCAAAATTAATCTTGGGTTTAATTATATAGGTAGTTCATACAACTGATACAAATGATAAGGTCCAAAATATTAACCCATATTTTTATTCAATTTAAAAGGATCCATGGATTTTTTATTTCATCCTGTGATAATTTTAAATTGTTCTGTCTAGGTGGGTTTTACAAATATAAGTCACATGTTAACACAAAATGGTCGTGTATATGCTGAGTTAACTGTTTCTCATCAGTCTCCTGGGGAGTTTCTATTAATTACTGGTTCTGGATCAGAACTTCATGATCTTAGGTAAGTGCATTGGCTAATAAAGTTTCATATGGTTTACATAGATTCCATCTTGCTTTAAGTTTTTATGTTATCAGTAAACTTAGCTTCTTTAATCTTATTTTTTTAATATGCTTTTGAATATACTTCATGTCTTTTATAGGAAATTGTTTGAAGTGAGGGAACTTACCCCACCAAAAGATAATCCATTGATATGTTTACTCATTCTAATAATACTAATTCCCATTTCTTGAGCACCATCAGTTTGCCAGAACCCAATCCCCACATTTTCTCAGATAGAATTCCCATTTTTCTCATGAGGAGACAGTAGTTTGGGTTAAAGTAACTTGCTCAGATTGGTCTTGTTGATTCTGATGCCCACATTTGGTTTCACCTCAGTGAGCTACCTGAGTTACTGTCTCCTTTTTCATGCTTTGTATTCACTGGTGCACAGTTGGATCCAAATCACTAACCTTCAGGTCAAACCTTCACATGGCTCTTAGTCTATTCACCTACTAAATGTTGTCTTTAGTTTTCCAAATAAATTTGGAACATTGTTTAAGAAAAGTCTTACTTTGCCAGGTTCCTACTCTAGTTATAAAACAAAACAAATTATACTCCCCAATTCATGCGGGGTCAGGGGCTATCCGAGTAGCTTAGCTGTGCATAAACCCAGATCATCATCTTTTTATAGACTTGCTTTGCTCCAGGGGTTGCTCAATAAATTTACACATCAGTCCTATGACTGAGTTCCAGCAACTCATCAAAACTTAGAAATGGAAGCTAAACTTTAGAGCTTTTATTTTTTCCTTGTGATTTGTCAAGACGATTATGTGCTGGTTATAGGCACATCATTAATCTTTAGCAGCACAAGGATGCCACCTATGTGTAGGTACTAGAGAAAATTTGAGTGCTGATTAATTTCTGAAGAATGAACTATAGTTTAAATGTAATACTGTCATTATTTTAAAAAATTGTGTGGAAGAGTTGGTTTGAACTGAAGACTCCTGTGCTGTTAAAAATTACTCTCAAATATATCATGGGGTGGTTTAAAAGGAATCATTTAATATCTCTGGGACTCAGTTTCCTTAACTTTAAATATGTTAGATGTCTAAATGAAATTACACTCTTGGGACTTTCAGTAACACTAGACTCAGAGCATGTCCTCAGAGAAGTAATGTTACCAACATGTCTTTTTCAAGCAAGATTTAACACAATGTTTATGACCTAAATGCAGATGGATTGAAGAAGAGACAGCCAAAGGCGGATACAACGTTGAAATCAAAAATGTAACCGATGAGATTGGGGTCCTTGGAGTTGCAGGGCCATATGCAAGAAAGGTCCTGCAGAAACTGACCTCTGAAGATCTTAGTGATGATGTTTTCAAGTTTCTTCAAACTAAGTCTTTAAAGGTTTCCAACATTCCTGTCACTGCTATTAGGATATCTTATACGGGTAAGAATCAGAAAGCAGGCTTACTCTAAAGTTTCAAAGATGCTCTCAGAGATTCAGTTTTTCAGTGTAACTTTGGAGGGAGATTTCTCCTGCCCAATCCTTATGGTAATGATGTCTATTCACGCCTTTTCTCAGAGACATTACACAGATTTCCAATTGTTCCAGTCTTACAGCTGCCTACCATTTAGAAAGATAAATAAGAAAGTGGAGTGAGGATGGCTGTTGGAAGAATATTCAGGCAGCTGATGCTATCTGGGAACATTTGAGATGATCTCTCGTAGGCAGTGTCCCCCTGAGAGATCATCTTTAATATATCAGGCCCTTTTCTTTGAGTATTACCACTGTTCATCTTTCCTTCAAGATTGCAGGTACATCAGGAAAGTCTTCAATCGCACTAAGCCTTGAACACAGTAGGCATTAGATGCAGAGATATGTGAATGCCCTTCCCATCCCCCACTGGTGCTCTGGGCTCACTTCTCACGTCCTCTAGACCCCCCTTCCCTTGCACAGAATGAGGACCGTGTACCCAGGCATGTGTTCAGCTCCATGCTTCTCATATTTGTCCTAGAGAAAAAAAATCACCATCAACCCTCAACCTTGGGGACAAAGAGAACACACAATACTAAAGACCAGAGCTTTTTCTTGGTATTCCCTTCTACCTTTCCCTTTTCCATCCTTCACCAAACTTGGCAAAATGGTGACTAAAATAATAAACAAACAGAATAATAACCAGACTGTTTGGATTAGATTTCATTGTCTATGGTTTTCCCCACAGTTCTAATGTGAATCAAATGACCAAGTGGGAAAAAAATGTGGAAGTGGGGTGAAATTTAATTACCTCACAATGAAGACCATTTAAATAAGTATCACTTGACTATATTTTATTTGTTTTTTAGCCTTGTGATTTTTGGGCAAGGAGTTGGGGGTTGATGTATCTAAAACAGGAACCCCTTATCTTGATAAGCTGTGCTATACCAATTACTCACTTAACATTATAAAGCTGGTATCAAGGGTTATTACTTCAGAGCCTTTCTGTATCATAATAAATGTTCTAGGTGCTACCCTTTGTGTGTCTGACAGGATTGACTATAAATGTGTCTGTGATGTGGCATGCTCCTTGGCAATGGGGTTCGGTTGCAACTTTTTTGATGAACTAGTCTTTTAAAACTTAATGATGTTATATCTCTCCATGTATTTTTGTGTTTTAGCTAAAGCACATTAGACCTACTGATCATTGTCCTTACTCTGGTTTGTGGCACTTGTGGGTTTATTTATTTCAGGTGAGCTGGGTTGGGAGCTGTACCACAGACGAGAAGATTCCATGGCTCTTTATGATGCTATCATGAATGCAGGCCAGGAGGAGGGAATTGACAATTTTGGAACATATGCCATGAATGCCTTAAGACTGGAGAAGGCTTTCAGATCCTGGGGGTCAGAGGTTTGCAATGCTAACACTGTCATTAAACTTGATGTGTGTTGCAGCTGATTTTTATATAAGGGTTAGTTTTAACTACATTGACATTGGCTCCAGCTATAAGAGTATTTGTGATTATTAGGTAATGACTTAATTGGGAGTAAAGGTATTTCTCTTCGGTTTTCATAGTTGAAAATTCAGTGGAATCCTGACCTAATGTTTGTTCTTCCCTGACTCCTGCATGGCGGAGAGCCCTGTACTTCCATCTCCAACTGAGTGTGCAGCTGGGACTGCTCCAAGGAAGCTTGTCCCCACAGGATTTGAGAACCACCTTTTATAGTCTCTATTCCTCTTCTTACATGTTCTGCATTCCCATTTTCTTCTTACTGTGCACCTTTTAGGAAAAAGAAACAGTAGAAGATGTCTCCCTGAGGCGCGCAGGGTTGATGGTCTAGGATGTGTTGCTTCAAACTACTCCCTCCATAATGGAAACTAGTGGTTCCTGTTTGTATATTTACATACCACTGCCCTATGACCAATTTCATTTACCTCTTCAACTGTCCCTGAAGAAGATATCATTGGTGATTCTGGAGCAAAGAGTTGGGAATTAGGGTATTTCATTAGCCATACTCTACAATCAGACTAAGAATCAGTGAACAATTTGGTCCAGATGAGTACTCAGACTGGTTCTATTCCACTACTTTATGCCCAGTATGGTAGACTATCTTCTGAACTCCTTAACTTTTTCAATTCTTGGACATGCAATGATCCTCCACTACATAACTAGCTCTGTGTTTTGTTTTGTTTTTTTAAAGATTTATTTATTTGTGCATACAGAACTGGGGTACAGGCCAGAGGCTCAGGGGCGGTAGAGGTTTCACCAGAGACAGAGTAGGGAGCAGAACAGGCAGATTGTGGAGGTACACTGCTGAGGAGAGCAGTGGGCGGTCAGGAGAGGCCTGCCTCGCCATATAGGTCACCTCCCGGGCAGAGATTGAACTCATGTGGAAGTAAGTGGCTTTCGTTTCTTAGTACTGTGGTTTGACCCGCTGCGCCACCAGGGAGGGCCCAGCTCTGTGGTTTTAACCCTTAAAGCCTCTGTCTATGTTTCTATGAAATGAATATAATCTTTTTTGTACAATCATTATGGATATTAGAGATAGCTCGTATAGTGCCATATAACACAATTTAATTAGAAGGTAAAGTGGGTTTGGGAGCACAGGCCCGGCCACTAGGACATTTAGACTATGGACAGAGCACTTGATTTAAGGGGGAAAGCACAGCCCCCTGGACTCACAGAAAGCGCAGGGACCTGGAACAAGGTAAGCTCTCTTTTGGGAGGTTTTCAGTGATACAGTGGGGCCTCAGATGAGGCTGCTGCAGGGAGAGAATAGAGGACAACTCGGCCCCATACTCTAAGGACCAAAGCAACAGAAGTATCCTTTTGGGAGTGAGGCATTTATTCATCTGTTTACCTTTTATATTCTCATGCCTCTTCTCTCTAAGCTCACCTCTTAAAAGCTTTTCTGTATTACAGGCCCCTTGAATTTCCCAGCGGTGCCAGCACGCCCTCTAGTGTTAGTATAGCAATCACAATTTTTCTGTGCGGTTCTTAGGTTTTTCTTAGAGACATTCAGAAACTGAGCAAAGAGAAAATAATTTTAGAATTGCTCAGATTGATTAGGAAATATGATAACAGATTTCAATCATGAAAAATTAGTTTAAATTATTTATCTGGTTAATCTGAGTTCTGTGTTTTCTTATTTTTTAAAGTTTTGTTACTGATATAGGGCTTAGACCACTTTCCTTAGAGCAAAAAAGAACAACAAAATAAATGAATGAACTTACACTACTGACTTTCATAATTGTTCTAAGTAATGGCTTTAACTTCTACTTGAAGGGTATTGTAATTACTGATACATATTTGAAGAGTTGAGATTTAACTTCAATATTTTCCTTTTACTGGTTCTTCTCTTGAACCTATTTTCCTACCATCTGCTTTCTCTTCCTACTTATGGCTAATTATAAGTAAACTACTTGATAACTTTTCAAACAGTAGTTATGTAAAATTCTTATGTCAGCCACATGGAAGTCTTGTTTCTGGGAGGAACATCATGTTGTGATTTCTCTCAGATTTTTTTTTATAATAAAAGAACCTCAGATATTTATTATTATAAAATAATGGAATCAGACTGTGAGTTTTAGCTTCTAATTTGCCAATTGGATAACAGTACTTGCTGAAAGGTAGCAAGTGAATTTTAGAATAAAAAATTTATTGTAGAGTCCAATCCATGGTTTTTCTTTTTCCTACATTCAAAATCAAAAAGTGTTTTCTTCTCAAAAATAAAGTAATAATAAATGGAAACTGACATTACTGAAATGATTTGCACTTATACAAGATTTAAATTGTGTACTTCCTTTTTAGATGAACTGTGATACAAATCCCTTGGAAGCTGGTCTGGAATATTTTGTAAAGCTTAATAAGGTATGTTTACATTCCAGAATGTGCTTGAATAAGTCTTTGGTGCTGTTTTGTGGCAGTCAGGCTTTAAAGCCTACTCAGTTGTGATTTTAGGACTAGTGAATTGAATATAAAGAGCTTTATATTAAGATTTTGTCAAAATTTGGTATCTGTTCAAACAAACTATTGCAAGCTTCTCATAGATGTGAGATAGCAGGACACAAAACATTAAAACTGAATCTATCATTTTTATTAGGTTGCGTTTTTTTTTTATTGAGGTAAAAATTGTTTTGCAACACAGTATATGATTTAAAGGTGCAACTTCACACTTTTTCAAATACCTGTGCACACCACACTCACTATCAAAGCACTGGTAAAATCATCCACCATAATCCATCAGTCCCCTGTTCACTGCTCCCAACTTTTACCCTTCTAGTAGGGTTAAATCTACATTCTTATCTGTAGGGCTGTTTTGGTTTAGTTTTGGCTATTCTTTTGCTTTGTTTCTCCGTATTTCACAAAAGTGAAATTATCAAGTATTTGCCTTTCTCTTTGTGACTTTTTTCACTTGCCACAATCTCCTCCAGTTCTATTCATTCTGTCAAAAATGATGAGATTTCATATTTTAATAACTGAATAGTATCCCATTGTGTATAAACTCCACCTTATTAGTCCCTCATCTGCCTTTGGGTACTCAGGTTGTCGCCTTGATCTAATTCTGTTTGAGTTAGTGTTTTCATATTCCTGAGGTAGATAACTAAAAGACGGATTACTGAATCAGGTGGTAGGTCCAATTTTAATATTTTGAAAAACTTCCATACTGTTCTGCATAGGAGCTAGCTCAGTCTGTATTCACACCAGCAGTGTATGAAATGAAGGTTCCTTTTTCTCTATCTACATCATAGCCAACACTTAGTTTCTGGTCCTTTTTTTTTTTTTTTTTAAAGTTGTGTCTATTATGCATACAGAACTGGAGTACAGGCCAGAGGTGAAGGGGTGGTGAGAGGATTCACCAGAGACAGAGCAGGAGCAGAATAGGCAGATGGATGAAGTACACTGCTGAGAGGAGCAGCGGGCGGGTTAGGAGAACTCTGCCACAACATGTGGGTCACCCCTCTGGCCAGGAATTGAACTCATCCTGAAGCAGCTGCAGCTAGCTTCTAGGTTCATAACACTTTGCTTCAATAGTTTGTGCCACTAGGGCAGGGCCCAGTTTCTGGTCTTTTTGATATGAGCTATTTACATGGAGTGAGCTATGGTCTTGATTTGTATTTCATTGATTTTATCTGCATGTCATTGTGGTTTTGATTTGCATTTCCTTGATGATGGGCTATGGTAAATACTTTTTCATGTGCCTATTGGCCATCTGTATTTCTTGGAGGATTGTCTTTTAACAATCCCAGTTTTCCCAGTTTTTGATTTAATTTTTTTTCTTTTTGTTGATTTGTTGATGAATTCTTTGTGTATCTTGTATATTAGACCTGTTGGATATGTAATATGTAAATATTTCTCCCATTTGGTGGGAGCAAAGACTAAGTTTAAAGACTAAGATTAAAAATGAATAAAGATAAGATGTCAACAGATAATCTTGCAAATCCTGTTTGCTTGGAAGTAACACATAACTAATAAACAAAACTACATTAATAGACTCTCCCTGAGTACTCACAGACTGAAGTCAGCAGATCTGTTCATCTGCTTATTAAGCATCTTTGTATATAGCTACAATATGAGTATAAGTAAATAACAACAAAACTCAGTTTAGAACTGTTTAATAGATGACTTTTTACTTTTGCAAAAGTGGGATATTTTCTGAGAAGCCAATATAAGTCCAAAGATTCTTAACTGATACTAACATTGCATAGCAAATCCTTGCACCAACAGCTTTCAGAGCAGGGTCCTCACTCAGTCACATCAGCACCAGCTGGGAGCTTGTCAGAAATGTGGGCCCTACCTCAGACCCCACCCAAGACCTACTAAATCAGAATCTCTAAGAATCAGACCAAGAAATCTGTGTTTTAACAAGCTGTAAGGGATTCTAATGTACCTAAAGTTTGAGAAGCACCATCCTACATAATTATTGTGGAAAAGCATATTATGGGGTCAGTGTTTTACACCCCAGCTCATCTCTGTAAGTCCTACAGATACAAATGAAAATATCCCGTTATTATATATCACATGTTTATGTACCTACACAAGTCGTCTGTGGAGCCTTTGTCCACCATGGTGGTATGGGGTGGGGCTAGAAGGTAATTAGATTTCAGTGGAGTCCCTAAGTTGGCATTAAGAGGTGTCTGCCTACCATGTGAGCATACAGCCAGAAGATGATCATCTGCAAACCAGGAAAGGGCACAGGGGAGCTGTGATCAGCTGACCCTAATCTTGGAATTCACAACTCCAGAACTGTAGGAAATACATTCCTATTGTTTAAACCACCCAACTCTGTGGTATTTGTTTAGCAAGCCAGGCTGACCCAAGTACCCTTTGAGCTGTGCCTTAGTTCCTGTAAGGAAACCTCGCAGAAATGCAGTTAGTGTTTGTTTTGAGGGTGGGGGTAACAGCTGCTGCTACTTAGGATACTTGGAGAATTCCAAAAATAAAACTGTTCTGCCTTAGGTACTAATAAGCTAAAGCAAAGACTGTTTTCCTATACATAAGGAAATATGTGAACAAATGAATATGAATTAGGCTAAGGAAACTTCATTGCCCCTGCATCAGTTCTCAAAATCTGAGCTAAGATACTAGTATAAATATGTATATTTATAGTATTAGAATTTAGGAGAAAGTACCTCCTAAAAGGTTTTAAAGGGAATATCTTTCTGTACGTTTTCCCCATGACTTTTATTTTTATGATGTACCATCTGCCTCTAGATGAGAGAAAGCAGGTGCTTGGAATTGAACCAGAAGCTAGCAACAGATTGCTCCTTCTGATAGCAGAAGTCTTAGTGTAGATGTTTAAAATAGGGATAAAAATGGCCTGACTCTTAGAAGCACTAAAGTTCTGTTGTTGGCTACCAACAGGTACATAACCAAGTCTTCTGCTTCAGTGTGTGGGTATTACTGTTTCGGGGTTATGCATGGATAAATGATCTCTTCAAATTTAAATTGGATTTTTAAAACTCTGTTTATGATTATAAACAGGTGTGGGTGGTGTGTTTATTAGTTTCTTTATTTTTTTTTCAATAACCAAAGCTCAGATCAGAGCTACTTAATAGATAATAATTTTGATTTGTGGTGTATTTTTATGATTCCTGAATTGTTGATTGTCACTTTGGTGCCACAGAATTGATTTCTAGTGTTTTGTTGGGTAAAGGTCTATGTAGCCCTAAGACCAGGATCCAACTGAGTCAGTCTTTTTCAATTGTCAGTTCAGGTGGTTAGTGTATGTTGACCTAATCACAGTGATTCTTGCTAATTTAAGAGGGCAAATATATTGTATCAGCTCGGTTTAGAGCCTAGTTGGTGATTTTATGACCTTGTCTTAGTTTTGTAGAAGTCTGAAGAACTTATAAAATAATTTATGTAACTTGGTATTTCAGGTGCTGTGCCAAAAGGTTACCCATGCTTCATATATTTATACAAGTATATAATGCAAGTCCTTATTACTTCAAAAAAAAAAAAAAAAACCTGATGCTATATGAAAACCTAAGTAGCAGCAACTTTACAGAGGAATGTTATAGTCAATACCAATTTTTAAAAATCCTGATATTTTATAATTTTTTAGAATCAATTCTTTTCTTTCCCTCTCTTTAAACAAATATATAGAATTCCCTTAGTAACCCGTAAGTGTTAATCCAGTGACTATATAATTTCAATATGAAGAAATAGATACACAGAATGTTTGGCACCAGGAGAGCGCTAAGATATGGCTCAGTACCAACCCATTACTTAAGTGTGGGTACACTGGGCATGGAGAAGTGAAATGACTATTGCAGGCATTGGTGACATTCCAGGTTGAACTCTGACCTCATTCTTGCACTTTCTCACCCATCATGCTTTTCCTTATCAGCCTTGAAAACCACCCAGGAATTTCTCTCCGTGAGAATAGATATAGAATTTACACAGACTACATTTTATAATTGATAACTCCCAAGGTCATCGTTTAGTTATAACTAAGTTTATATTTTATGATAGGATCAAACTCATTTTGTCCATTTTAAGTAGGAAAATTGGTAGGTGAGGAGATGGACCATCAATTGCCTTATCAAAACCAGTACGAAAAGAAGGGAAAAGAAATGGTGTATCGAAGAAATTATAGATGGCAAAGGAGAATGGTGTGCTGGCACGTGCTTTCCCTTACTCTTCCAGTTGTTTGTGCTTCAATCCCCAAGGTGGCGTCCATGAAGATAAACACAATTGTGGTGCACAAATTCATTCCTCTAGTCAACCTTTCTTAGACACCTTACTAGATCACAGATATCAAAGTTGCAGATATAACTCCTGATATCTCTCAGATCTCATGAAGCTTGAAATAATTGGTAATTCAGAATCTAAAGGTATAGAATACATTTTCCCCCTCAATTATTTATTTAGAGTAGTTTATAAGTAGGCTTATATCATTATATATGATTTGGGGGTTATAAGTTCAAGCTGCTACTGATGTATATTTTCACAGTAAGCCCACCATTAGTGACCTAAAAATCCTCCACCATGTTCCATTGGTTCCCCTTTTTTCCCTACTCCCAGGATACATTAAGTTTAATTCTGAAAATATGTTCAGTCTGAGGAGGATTATCTAGCAGCACACAACAGTGCCAGCTTGTGGAGAGAATATGTAGAGTGCTGACAGGAAATGTTAATCAGAACTGTGATACAGGTAAACATACTGAATATACAACTCAAATCTCCTTAACTAAACCCTTTTTACCTGAAACAGCTCACATCACTGTTTTAATGGTAATTTGTTCCAAAGGAAGAGGTTTTGGGGGGGAAATTAGTCTCTTAGGAAGTTGAGAATAAAGTAATGCATTTATGAAGAGCAAAAGGAAAATCAGCTGCCACAGGAAAGAGTCATCTTAGTCTTAGAT